ACTCGAATTCCTCTCACGTTGCTACGACTGAATCCAGTTTTTAATTCTCTATTCAACGATGCCAAAACGAATTATGTGGCTCAAATGGTTCTTGAGAAACCTCTAAAAAAGCAGCATCATGTTCAAGTGAATTTTGCAACTCAAAAAAAACCACGCTAATCTAAAACTTCTTGAATTCAAGCATTTTTTGAGAAAACTGCCAACATTTCCTTATCGATGGTTCACTTTCTAAAAAGGCCATTTATTTTCTTGCTCATTTTACCTCCGAGATTTGAGCAAAAACGGGACGGAAACATGAAATTTTGGCAAAATCTTGAATCTAAGTGTTTGATATTAAAATTTACCTTTCTGGGCCAAAAGTATTCGAATTTCCTCACTCACGTTGTTACGACTGAATCGACTTTTCTCTACTCTTCGAAATTCTCTATCCAACGATGCCAAAACGAATCCTGTGGCTCGAATGGTTCTTGAGAAGCTTCAAATAAAGGCAATTTAGTTATCTCTGGAATGATGTAAAAACGAGCGTTCTTGCTCATTTTGCTTCCGAGAAACATGAAAAACGGGACGAAAAACATGAAATATTGCAATAATCTTGCGCCACCCGTGCACAAAACGACGATCATTTTTCTAATTTCATAGACAACAGAAGACTGTATTTTACTACATAACCCCCCCCCCTGACTTTAAAGCTGGATCCGCCCCTGAGTCAATTGTTTAATGGCGGATAGGAAAAACTGTGGACTATTCGCTCCCTTAATTATTAAAAAAATCAACGGTTTTTTAGATTTTGATCTGGGAAATCGCTAATTTTCTAAATGGAAAATTTTTCTTTGTCGTTTTATGGCACTTTTCTGGCCGAGAGTACGATTCTAAAGTGAGACGCGGGTTTTTTTAATTGGGAACTTTCTGACGTTTTCCTGTCAAGTTGAATTTATTTGACGGCGATAACTAGCAAATAGCACTGAATATTTCCGCCGCATTTTGACGCTTGACTAGGCTTTTGAGTTATTCTTAGGATGTTGAAGAAACTCTCAAAAACTTAGAAAAATCTAGATCTAGAGTATCTAGATATAAAACTGCAGTCTAATGGTAAGTGTTTTATTACAAAGTTTTTCTTTTTAACGGCTGGAAACTTGACACTTTTGATTTTCCTCAACAAATTTTTCCCATTTTTATCGGAATATTTCTAAGCCGTAAGGTTCAAAAAACGCAATTACAAATTTCTTTAAAGGGGAATTGGCAAGTGTTTGTAATATATGTTTGAAGGTGTTCTCATTAAAACGCAATTAAACTTAAAACTTAAATAATAGGATATTTAGATACGCGTTGGCTTTAATAGCTAAAACTTATAAACTATTTATTTATATTGATAAATATTTCAATATTAAAGAAACACCTTACGGTTGAAGCGATGGGAGAACTTTAGGAAAGTGGGAAGGAACTTTAGAAAGATGGGTATCCAAAAAAAGTATTATATACAGAGTCTCATTTGAAATAGTAAAGTTTTTTCGTTGTCCTCAGTCGATTAATCACGCTTGATTATAGAAGTAACGAAATTTTCAGAACAATTCAAACTCGCGTTTTCCGTATATATCTGACGTGCCATAAACCGTGACCTACCCTGTATATAGGCAGTTTCATAAATATGCTGATCATTTTTTTAAATCTGGTAAAGGACGTAATATGCGAAAAAGTGAAGAGACAAAAACGTTGTCTTTTTAGTTGCTTTACCGGAAATAGTTTCGCAATTGCAAAAAACAATTATTTTTGCCTGGAACGCTTAGAAACAAACTGTAAACATTTTATAAAAGCCGTTTTTTACTTAATAATGACAATTTTTTTACAAATTTTAACACCCTGTGATTTGGGAACATTCATTTTGCAACAACTTTATGGAAGAAAAAAGCTTGTTTGCGTGTTCCATAACACTTAAATAATGTATGGGGAATTAAAAAAAAACTCAACTGTTCAATAATACAGTGCAAATTTTTTTCTTACTACTAAACACTCTAAACCCTTACATAAAAAAATTAAAATTAAGATTAAAACAGTTTTATCACATCTCATTGAGCTCTAGTTAGCTATATTATATCATGTTTATGGCAATATGTCGTAGACGATTAATCAACTCGATTTATCTGTGCTTTAGCTGTAAATTCCCGAAAGATCTTCACCAAAAAGAACGTGGACACCATGGATTTATTGTGCAATTAAGACGCTAGACTAGCGTGATAGCAACTACAAGTCTAAAAATATAATATCGATACTGGTACACTTCCCCAAGCAGTGCCGACAATATGAAAATTCTATTTAACATAGAAAAATTATTGACTAATTACAAATCGCGTTCCACACTCGGCTTAATATACTGGCGGTCAGCAAACTCCCGAAGAAATAAAAGACAAGTTTCAGAACTTCATGAGCAATCGAAAACCTAAATGTAAAACATCATTAGTCTGCAAAGTTCAATTACTGTTGAAACAATCAACTTCTACCTTTTAAATCTCTTCCTGGATGCCTCCAAAGTGGCATCGGATTCCTTCAGCAAATATTGCCTGATGCCCTTAATGTACCTTCTGAAGAAAAGAGTCCATGACACATTTTGCATACTCATTGGGAACAATTGCTGATCTGTTTTGTTCAATTTCAACCACAAGTTTTGAACGTTATTGTTGCTAAACTTCCACTCTTGCAAGCAAAAGTAGCTGAGGAATTCGCTGAACTTGTGGACTTTTTTGTAAATACGTAATAGTCTGAAAAATACATTTCACATAAAAACGCTGAAGAGTAAATATATAACGGAGTCAAATGCTGTGATCTGATTCTTTTTAGCGGAAGATTTGAAAAAAAATGGATTATTTTATTGCAATATTTATCAAATAAATTTTCGTTTGGAAAAAGGTTAATAATCATTCACAAACAAACTTTGAAAATACAACAAAATTAAAAGATAAGTTAAACGTAAATAGATTTTCGAGACTGAAAAATGTATTATTAATTTGATGTGAAGATTGAAAATTTCGTCTTTTAGCCGACAAAAAAATATTATTTACAATTGAAAAACTTACTTTGGTTTGCCTCCTGTCAGCATGGTGCATAAATCGAGAAGAGCTGCCGGAATTATATGCAGGAAAATTTTCAAAAATATATAAAAGTAGTAGTTGGTCGTCATTAAAGCAACGGGCTTCCAAATGGCGTTGGAGGGAACAAAGTCCATTCCATGTGTTAAGTTTAATACCTTGAAATCTTCATGAGTTATTGGATTTTCCGTCGATGATACATAGTTGTAGACTGGAATAGTTTCAAATGTTCTAAAATTTCAACAATATTTATCACTTTGTATAGAAAAGCTCGCCAGCTGAGTTACTTTTCTTGGCTTCTTTTATAAACGTCCCAGGCAGAAACGATCAGAGCGGCTACACAAGTATCAACCGGTACGATATCGGCCAATTTCCCACCGTCACAATAAGAAACTCTTAATAATCCAGATACTGCGCCGGCAGCAAGACCGGTGGGTCCATAGAGATTATCTATCCAGCCAGGAAACGGCTCTTTGTAAGTTGAAACGACTGTAAAGAGAAAACGAGCAATTAATTTCGAGGTGATATTTTGAAAAGTGAACACATACCTATGCCAGGTCTGAAGATTCCAACAGCCAAACCATTTCCAAGATCTTTTACCAGGGATTCGGCCAAAGCTTTGGTGAATGTGTAACTGTTGGGCCATTGTCCTAAGAGTCTAAAAATTTAAAGATTTAACAATTTTCCTGACTTAAAACACTAGACTTGTACTTAATGGAACGGAGGCAGTGATTTTAATAAACGGAAATAGGAAAAATGATTGATAAATGATAATCATAAAATTCTGTAAAAAGTGCAGAAATTTTGTTTTATGAAACCAACTCGGGTATCAGATAAATTGTTAGATTGTAATCATCCACTTAATCTAAAGTCAAACTATTATAAAATGTGAAGCAAAATAGAACCAAAAAAACATTAACTGAAAAATAACGTGAACAACAAAGCAAATGCAGAATTTGACTAAAAATTAGAGAAAGTAAAAGAAGACTGCAGAATATGCAAATCTTGAATTTTATAGTCGCCATAATTAAAATTAAAATAAATATATGGGAAATTAATCACGGATTTCATATCACGCAGTTGACTTCAAGTACCTTTAATTTCTTACAATAAAATTAAAATTGTATTTTGCTGCATCAATTGCTGGTTCACGGGCCAAAAAACATTGTGTTCGCATAAAAAGACAACATATCATAATTAAATTGATAAATTAAGTTCTAATGATTAATTAAATATGATTATTATAAGTGAAAATTTTGGTTTAATTGCATTTTTTCTGCTCCATTTAGAAAAAATACATTCAATCAACATTAGTGATTGCGCGCAAATTAACTTAAATTATATGCAATTAAAAAGTACAATTAGCAAACAACTCTACTTACTTGGGCGTACAGAGGTCTGATTGTTCAACAGTCATTTTTTCCAAAGCGTTCTCCACATCTGAATATTTTACCGGATATTCGTACAGTTTTTCGTCAATTTCTCGAAGATGACAGTTTGCGTATGCTGTAGAAACGTGAACCACAGACTGGAAAAAATATCTATGAAATTATATGATACGAAGCAGTTTTCGAGAATTTTTACCTTTAAATTTTGGACTTCTCTTGCAAGATTTATAAGGTCTTTGGTACCATTAACGTTAATGTTGTAAGCTAATTTTATGTGCTCGTTGAAGTTAACCGTAGCTGCCACGTGAAGAATAACGTTAATGTTTGATATCAACCTCTGTCTGTCTGTGATTGAAATTCCTAAACCTAAAGGAAAAAAATAATACTTTCCCTTCTCCCAGCTTTGTTATTAATTAATATTATACCTGCAATCGAACAGTCTCCAGCAATGGCTTCGACTTTATTTCGGCATTTCGGTTTCTCTTTCTTCAATCGATCAAAAAGCTGAAAAAAGCGCATATTATTGAAAACTGATCCTTCCAACCAGAAAATCTTCCTTCACTTACCACATCGTCAAAAAGCGAGTCAATTCTCATATGGGGTGTTTGGCCCTTCTTTTCTCGTATCAGCACATAGATGGTTTCAACTTCAGTATTTCTCAGCAGTTTCTCGATAGTGGCTTTGCCCAAGAAACCAGTACCTCCAGTTAAAAACACATTGGTCCCTTTGTAGAACTCCTGAATAGCAGATATCTCCATATTGGACATTTTCTATGTTGAAGTTCGCTCCTGAAGCAAAGATGTGTTACTAATTAAGCTCCTGTCTACAGCGTTTACACAGAATTAAAAACTCAAATGGCTTGTTATTGATTGATTTACTGGGAATAACATCAGTTTATGATATGTTAGTTCACTACCATTTTTCCACTTGGTGCTTAACATCAAATAACCGCAAGAATTTTATTTGAATCTTCAAGGTTTTGACAAATAATTGTAAACATTGAGTCTAACGCATATTGTTTGCATCTAAAGTCCTCAGTTCGGCAATAATAATTCTGAGTTTTATGGCACCGATCAGTCAAGACTATATGGAAATGTTGCATTGTATAGAAGAAGAAACGACCGGGAAACGTTGAAGCTTCGACTGATATGAAATCCTAATCGATACTTGATTTTCTAAGCACGCAATTGATTATCATTAATGTTGCTTATTAACAATCTGCTCATTAGCACTACAAGCTCTTTATTTGGTTCGGCCTTTATTATTTTGGGCGTCAAGGCCGTTTATGCTTAACATGTTTTCAAAGAAGCCTTCGAGGAAAACTTTGATAGTAAATGTGAAGGCTGCAATTTATGCAAATTTTCCAAAACCTCACGTGTATCAATTGTGGTCGTAAATCTTCTAAACTACACAAGTCAATTTTGCAAGCAGAAAATGGAAACGTATGCAAAGTCCAAGTTAATTTCTCACTTAAATTGTGATTACAAACATATAAATCCAAGACTTTAATAGCCAAGGAAAATATACAAATATTAACTTAAAGTCATTGTTAATTCGAATTGCATAAGAATATAATGTAAATATTCCGTAATTCTTCAAAAACAATACAAAATACTTGGCATATCCGAGAAATGCACAGATTCAATATATGCATCGGTATTCATGTATGCTTCGCACATCTTTGAAAGATAACATGCTTTATTTGCCTACTAGTGTCACGTAAAGCTTTGAAAGGCATTAAAAGTTAGATAAAAATATGCGAAATGCCCTGCACTGGTAAAACCCAATTCCCGACTGAAGACAAGAGGGTTTGGTCAATAACCTCGCCTTCAAGCACGAATTCATTACAAGACATGAATTAATTTGTACATCAAATACTATGCAGGGTATGTCTTAAGAATGTATAAAACCTGTGAGTAATACGACACAGTTTAGGACAAATATTTTTTCGGGCTTGTTTGTCTTATTCTCATTAATTGCTTTTAAAGTCTAATTTTTCGAAATTGTTCTAAAATAATAATTTCTCTCTTGTTAGTAAAGTTAATTTTCTATCAGAAATTGTCGCTTTCGCTCACTGGATTATTTCATTATTTCGATTTTAAAACCATGTGGAAGCACTTTTCCTCAAAATATATCGAGTAGTTTCTGACCCTAAGCCTTTGCTGTTGGCTGCTTTAAAATATTGGCCTCTTTTTAATTATATTTATATTTTATGTTAATATATTGAAATATATTTTTATTTACTCGGGAAACAATCCCAACTAGCGAAAATAAACGTTTACTGAACCAATCTGCCTTTCAAAGTTAAAAATAGGATTTAATGAATAACAAATTTGTTATTGAATTGAAAGTAGTAGTATCTCAATTAAAGAGCTGGTATGTCAGGACAACTTTTAATTAATAGGTAGTTTAGCAAGGTTAGATATACAGGGTGGCCAATAGCTAACTAAACAGGGGTATTTTTGGTTATTTAGAAATTTATGTTTGAAAATGCTCGAACATAGAAAATCGTTCCCTTCACATCAACATCCTAGCCGGGGTGAGTTAGTCTCCCTAACTGTTTTCAACTTATATTTACTTCCACTTTCCACGCTCGAACTTTCTAACATTTTAATATTTGATGGGATTCTAAAAATGAAAACGTATTTGCAATGACAGGAGAATTCCAATGTTTTCCTTACTTACTTATTAGCTTTTGGCACAAAGTTTACAAGATAATAGATGAGTCCGGCCCTCCTCGGGAGGGCCGGAATGTCTCCAGACTTGACACCCTTAGACGTTTTCTACGAGGCCATTTAAAAAGAATTGAAAGTGAAAACAATCAATTACTGATGAATATTTTTTTATATTGCCAATGTTTACCTATTTGTTTTCTGACTTTGCAATTTTAACAAATAATTCCACGTCCAGTGTGTTTGTTTGGCCAGATCTTATATTTAAATAATGTTAGGTATTTATTCTAAAAGTTATAAATTAATATGATTATTGTGGAAATTTATAAGCTGTTAAATAAGTATATTTTTTCCGTAATAATTAAAATGTTGTCTTCTTGTATTAATGCAATCCCGTTTACCAAATTGACATCAGAAACTTCCAGACCATATTGAAACAACATAGTTAGTCTGATGACCGGAAAGTTTTTAATTTCGACCTCATTAGATATGATGAAAATCCAAGGCCAAAAAGTTTTTTGGTAAGACACTGATCAATAGTTTTCTCAAAAGGTATTCAGTTTTATGCAGTTCAAAAGGTTTTAATAGATCGATACAATATGTTTTCTTGCGGTAAATTCTTCTATGCGAATTTTTCTATTATGGTACTTTGGAGGAATCCGCAACTAATGGAAAAGTTTTAATTGGTCACACAGAAATAGATTTTACAAACGCATTTTGTTTTTAATGTGAATGGAAAATCTGCGTGGACAACGTTTTTCACGTTCTTCTTTCAGGAAAACTGCTCTGAATTTCTTTTACTAGTTTTCCGATTTTTCACATTTTCAGTCATGAGGTTTTAGCTCAACTGATCAAATTATTTAGAACTCAACACTAGTAGTCAAAGACACATTTTCATAAACCTGCTTTTATTAGCTCTACATTTGTAGAATAATTCAATAATCAAGATCAAGCAGTTTATAAACATGCAAAAATTCACAAACTCTCGACTTTAGTAGACTCGATTTTATAGCGATAAATGTGTATTTTGTGAAACTAAAGTTTATATGTTAAATATTCATTAATTTGTTAATAATTCGGAATCGCATTCGTTTATAATATTCGTCTTGATACGAATTGATGCTACGAAGTAATACATTTTTTCACAATATCCTCCTTAATTTTTTTGTGAATAGTTTAGAATTCGGCGGAGGTTTTAGTGGTAAAAATTCAGATTAAATTGAACCACGTTTTGTTTAAAAATGATGATGTGAACAGTTAAAAGAAAGTATTCTTACAAGCCCAAATAAAGATAATTTTACGTTGATTTCAATAGAAAAATTGCGCTGATTCTTTAACGTATTTATTAGTAACATAAACATTTTATATTAACATTCAAATAATTAAAAGGCTTGTTTAAACCGCCATGGTTAATTTACCAGAGTTTGGAAAATTTAACATGTTTTTCTTTTTTTTTATTAATCTGAATTTGCAAAGTTTTACCTGGTTTTCTATCAAACGTATTAATTCATTATTAAAAAAATAGGTTTTTGCAGCCATTGCTTGAAACTGGTGGGTTTTCCGGGACAAGTTTCCAGTTTTAAACAGTGTCTGGTTTCAACAATTTTAGAGACAATCTCACATCCTTCAAGCGGAAAGAGAACCCGATGAATTTTTAGGCCTTTGTGAAGAATAATTTCCTCGTGAAGTTTTGCAAGCACCAGTGACTTCTATTTTCAGATCTTCTCCCCTGAAGATGCAAACCCCTCGTGATTGCGAAATGTTAGATAAAAGTTATCTTCCGCGCCCGTTAAAAGTCCGAAAACTCACCAGTTTTATTTTAATTTATTGTTCATTTTGTTTCCGACTTTAACACCAGAAATTGAATATTTCAAGAGTAGTTGTTTTCGTTCGCAAATATATAACGTATCAAAAATCTAAACGTTTTTCAGCTGGTTTTTCAGAACCTTTATTGATCAAAAGTCAAAATAATACAAATTCATTTTTCATGCCAACTCGAAGCATGTTCACAGTTTGTATGATATTCTATATTTCTAATCGTTTTTGAAAGGAGATGGAGAATATGTCAATGGCTTGATTGCAACATCTTCTATTTTGATGATCCGAAGGTGAAGCATTTGTTAGTTCAAAAATCGCCGTTAATGTGGGTCAAATTTTGTATTTCATTGCCAAGTGTCATGAAACGTGCTGAATGCGATCGCATGGTCAATATTTTATGCAATATTTATAAATATTCAGTTCGCCATTGTTTTTATTATGCAGCGGATGCTTTTGCGCTATTGCATTAGTATTCCCAATGCTCAATCTCATTCGAATCTCATTAGACGGTTTTAATTGATTTCGGATCTATATCGAGTAATTAGACAAGTACTGGCACAATAACTACATTGTTCGCGTTTTATCAACTAATTCGGTAAAAATTTCAATCAATCCGAGTTGACCAATAACAGGTGGGTCACGTTGTGCCCATTTATCCAAAGATCAACCTCGTTTCGTAGCATCTGAATCAGATATGATCACGTAACAGCCACATTTCCTGGTTTAACACGAATTCGTCTGTTATCTAACACATATTGTAATGTTGTAACGACGAATTCTGTTCCAATGTTACGCGATTTAAAGTTGCGATTACCTAACGGAACCATTTCACTAAAATTCGTATAATGTGTGGGTCAATATTTGATTTTCCTGGCTTATAGAATGGAGAAAATCATCGAGCAAGTCTGTTGATAAACACTACAAAATTGCAAGATAGTTGAATGAACTGGCTGTGTTTGAAGGATTCATTTTTTGGAAGTCAGGAAACCGCTACTGTTTTCGCCCATTTCAAAGGTGAAAGTTTGATTTGGGGAAATTACATGAACCTGTTGTCGGCTGTGTAATATCACTGTTAATTTAATATAACAACGAATATTTCGGCAGTTTTGCTTAGTTGTTCGAATTTCTCTTCTTTGCTAACATGATCATCACATGCTTGCCCCGTAATGTTTCCGTGTAATTGTGAGATGCTTTTTTCTTCAAATTGCATTCAGTTTTTGGATTCTATTTTCCAAATTTTATGTCTCATTGGTCTTCAAAATTACAATGGAAATATTTGCTACTTGAACTGGATTTATTTAAAGCAGCAGATCTTTAGTAGGGATGTTTGGCCAAGAGATGCCTTATGAATCGTCGGTCCTTAATTCCGAATGTTTATTGCTTCCCTGCTCGGTCTTCAGATAAAGTCCTTGAAGATGATCGCTTATGGGAGAATACAATTTCACGTTGACAATGAAGGCCTTTAAAAACGCTTATTAATTGCGACCCTGATGATAAACGCTTACTTATAAAAGGATTGCACTAATTTAAGATTAAAGTTCAATACTGAGAAGAATTTGCTCCTAAGTGCTCAAATTGATTTATTAGTTCCATTTCCTTTGCCTAAATCTTAAAATGTGTTGTTTTCACTTCAGCTTCAGTTTTTCATTAATCTTATTCTTCTTCTACAAACTGTCCTCCAATAACTTCCTGCGTTTATTTCTCTTTTCTTGTTTGCAATTTCGGATACAAGGATTTCAATTTCTTTTGAGAATTTTTTACTAATTCAGACTTATAGTCGATTCTTTTATAAGGGCTCAATATTTGTTATAGTATTAGTTTCTGGTCGTTAGATAATCTATTTATTAATTTATTTTGCGTTCAATGATACAGATAATACACATACTGCAAGTTTAAATCTGCAACGACAGTAAAAAGCATTAATTACTTGCATATTTTTATGCAAATATTTGATTTTACCTTCACACTTTCTTTGCTATGGTTTTTATTGTATGATAATTTTCAGTCTGATTAATTATGCACGTCTCTGTGTAATTGTAATATAATTTTTAGTATTAAATATGCTTTCAGTGTACTATTTCCGCAATCATGTTTAAATATTTCAACCGGTAGCAACAATTTGTTACATTGCCTATTAATCTCTAGCGCTTTAATTACTCAGTTTTCCTGATGAATAATAAAAACATTTAAAGGGCTTGTAACTAACAAAACATTCACAATTTCATCTCACTTGCCTGAATACAGTTATGCTTTTTAATTTTTAAGGTTCCATCAATAAGGAAATGTTGGCAGTTTTCTCGAAAAAGTATTGATTTCAAGAAGCTTTAGATTTCCGTGTTTTTTTTTTGAGTTGCAAAATCGACTCAAACATGACGCTGCTTTTTAAGAAATTTCTCAAGAACCATTTGGGCGACAGAATACGTTTTGGCACCATTGGATAGAGAATTGAAAATCGATTCATTCGTAGCAACATCTGTGAGGAAATTCGAGTAGTTTTGACCCAGAAAGTGAAATTATAATATCAGACACTTGCACAATACAGGTGTAAAATGACAAAATTTTATATTTTCCGTCCCGTTTCTGCTCATTTCTCGAAAGAAAAATGAGCAAGTAGGCTCAAAATTTCCCTATGTTTTGCTCTAAATTGTCTTCGGCATTTTTTACCAATCTGAAAAATTGTTATTTTCTGCTTATTGTTTCGCTTTTCATGTTATGATCTGTAGAACTTGAACAAATTTACTCAAAGCTTACTAATTTATCCACTGACAAGTAAAACCTTTTTAAAAGGTTTAAATAAACCTTAAAGTAAGGACCGAAAGTCTGTAGACCAACTGAAATAGCATATAATAATGGGAATATAATATGGGAAAATATTGGGAATTTATCTGTGACAAGAGAAATTAATTAATAATGATACTGTGCGTATTTTTTTATGAGAGAAAATTGTTTTAAAATAATATTCCGTGTTATTAAATTTCCATTTTGAAATGAAAAACTTACATGGTTGCATGCAAATGCTCATTAGACAATGCAACTAGCATTGTTGTGTAATAATGACAAAATTTTAATCGCATTTTCAACTGGTTCTGAATATGATTAAAAATATAAAGCCATACTAAAATGTACGCAAATGAGACACCAGTTTTCCTTCGGTAATAAAATATTAATTAAACATTTCAAGATGTAAATTAACTTTAAAAAATCAAAAACGCGCTACTACAAGCACAACAGCAAACACTGAATGAAACCTGTTTTACCATTAATAAACTAATATAGATTTTTTAGCTATTTTAAGAATTAACTGGAAGAAGTGTGTGTATTTTTTTCAAGGAGTTTCCTTGCGCAGTGGTGCCAGTCGCGATTTTTTAATCCCGGATTCTTTGCAAAATTCTCGGAAGTAAGTATTCCTTTCATATTAGAAGATTTTAGACAATTCATGAGCGACATCACAAGGTGATTTAGAAGCAAGGCTGACCTTAGCGAAAAATCGAACCTAAACTCAAAGTGAAATTCCTATCTAAAAAATTTGCAAAATTATTTCCTGATTATTAAAATTCGGATCGAGGGCAAGGTTATAAATAGCATAACAATATTACCTAAGCATTCTTTACTACGGGAAAGCATCAGTAATTTCTTCTCCAAAATTGATGTCACCTTAATTTTAGCGGGTTATATAATTTTGAATATTGATGGATGAACCTTTCTAATTTGCCAGCTTTAATGCATCACATAAATAGAAAAGTTTGCTTCAAAATTTAAATTTAAAATTAAATTTTCTGTTGTTACCTATAAAATTTAAATTTAGCCCGCAGCAGGAGACCACAAATCGAATCAAATCTAAAATAAAATTTATGAATATATGAGCAATTTTAGAACATTCAATAATATAATTTACTAAATAAAGAAAATATAAATTGCATACATACAGAACTTGGCATTCTCTTAAAAACTACTAACTAGCATTTTGCGCTTGATTGGTTTTAAAGTTTCTGCTCCATCAATTAACAAAAAATTTAAATATAAAGAATTGCAGGGTAAAAATTATATAAGAAAACCCTACCTTAACACAAAAAACTCTCCTTTTAAAGCAATCACTATACTAGGAAAAATTAACTAGTGCAAACGTGAAACAGTCAAAAAAGGAACACGCGAATCACCACCACTTCATACAACGACTCGCCAACGTCTTAAGCTGTTAGTGGTCGGACAATTTACAAGAGCCAAAAATGTTTAACAACTAAATAAAGCGAACAATTAGCTAATAATTTAAACATTTTCATTCTACATGAGCGTCGAGTCGGGTGGGGGTAGAGTGGTAGATTTAACAACGACGAGCTTGCTAATCTAGAGTTGATTGGAATAAATTTTCCAAGTTTTTGCGGCTTTAAAGAAAGGGCAAAGTCCATGGACTTTATGTATAAAAGAAAGAATATGTTTTCATTATTACTTTTTTCCTGTGAAATATTTAGAATTGCGCGTGAATTTTTGCTCTCTAATTATGTTATTATATAGTTATTAAATATGCGCTAATTAGAAATTTTAATAAACAATCTAGGTTTATTAATCCGAGTTTTTCAAGATTTTATAAAAAATTGTTAGCATTTACTACTGGTTACTTAGAAGTAGGTATCACTGCAACTTTTGGCGAGTAGCTTTTAACCATTGTAAGAAGACGTATAATATTTATAAAATAAGAACGAAATTTTGTGAAATATTTGCTGGTGTATAGATGATTTTTATAAATAGGATTTTTATTTGCTAAATTCCATGGTGTATACCTATTTTAGCTCTAATCTTAAGCAAAAACATATTTATAACTTTGCATGCGTTCTGGCAACTTCAAGCTCAAATGAAGAACCGAAGAAATTTGAACAAAACCGAATTTCCGGCAGCTTGAATAGAAAATTTTATCTGCGAGTTAGTAAATCATCCTGTATATTGGATTTGTTTATATAACTAACACAAATCAATTTAGTAAGCTTTAAAGTTAAACTTAATTTAAATATGTTACTTGAAATCCCGCTATGCGAGATGAAAATTAATGCAGATCATGGAAACTGAAGGTCAGGGGATTCGTTTAATGGAAAACAGAAATGGCCTGCACATATACTATACATGAAGTATCAATAGAAATTTCAGAATATTCAGAAATACCCAAAACTTCTCCTATCGATGCAAAGTTTCAACTTAATTTTAACTTTCTTGCATTAAATTCTGCTTCGGAAATGCGTGTGTTTTCATCGGAAACCTGTTAACATCGTTAACATGAGGAAAGTATTTTAGATAAATATTGATTAAAATATTCCTGATTCTAATAATTCCTTAAGTTTTGTGAAAGTAACAATTCAAAGGACACTTTGACGTCAAACAATCTGATAAATCATCATACGAGACTATGGGTATCCCATGTTGTGTCCGGATTTACGTTCAATCAGATCTGCATAGAATACTAATATTCCAAGTTAATACAAATGGTTGGTCAGCTTTGATAGATGAGTTTAGTTATATTATGTTAATTGCAAGGATGTTTTCTTGAACGCTTTAATAATTAAGTACTTTTTCAAGATGAATTTGATCCAATACGACGAGATTTGCTATAATGCAAATTTGGCAGAGTATGTCATTGCCACAAAACTGGCTAAAATATTTGAGTATGTTGTTCATTGGTTTTGTTGCGTGTTTTGTGCTATGTTTGACCCAAACGGCAGCCTTGGCATTTTTTATAGAGCACGATTTTTTGAAAAATTAATTATACCTTTTCAATAATTTTTAAGGAAAGCAATAGCAGAACATATTGTTCTCAATATTTAAATACTAAGAGGAAGTACTAAAATTTACTGTTACTACTGAAAACTACGAAATTAACATAAAATAAACTTCTTTTCCAGTCGGTTCGAGAACATCATAGTCACGGTGAGACTATGCGTTTATAATAACCAGCTCCATTTACATTTTTCCGTAGTTAATTATTCTTTAATGTTTTCTGTTTGATTGAGGAAAACATTGTCTAATCTATCAATGATCGAAATTTCTAACTAAACTTAGATACTTGGACTGAAGTCAACTTAGACTGAAGTCAGTTTTTGCAAAAATCCCGCTATTTTGCTGCAGTAAACCTCTCTATTTTGGATCAGTTAATACAAGGAAAACAACCAGACAAGTGAGCAATTTAATTCAGTTTTAATCCGATTACACGCTTTAACGCCCTTAATTTGACATGGCTTCAGTTCTACGGGGCGCAACCCACCATGGAAAATCCGCCTTTTGTCACATTTTACGTAATCGGCTTATTTATGCTGGAAGGACCCACGTGTTTCCCGATTTATGCCCGATTTTTCATCAAGCTGACATAGTGATGACGAATTACTTTGATGTCATTATTATAGCAGTCCTAACTTAGGTAGAAAAATATGTTACATTGCTACTAGTCAGAGATTTGAACTAGTCATTGTTCCTTTATTTTTTGTTCCTGTTTATTCCTACTTTCGATCTGTCCACAACATTGTTGATTTTATCCTATATTTCAGTCAGTGTGCAGGACATCATTTTTGAATAGTTTTCTATTGAAATCCCGGAAGGATCTCCAACCGAAAAGCTCTGGTGTGCTGGCAGAACCCCAAAATTGTATATAAATTATGGCCACATTGGTTTTAAAACACTTTTGGAACTCTTGAGCAACCCATGAAAACTGGGGTAGATTGTCTCTCATTCTTTTCTCAGTAGATTTTTCTATCTAATGAGAAATCATTTTCTTTAAGAATTCAGTTTGATGAGCCACAAAGCAAAACTTCCCGAACTGGTTAAATAATGATATTGACAAGAACCGCAAAAATAAATTATTTAAATATAATGCAACTTTCACCCCACAATATCACGCCGATTTGTTTTGCCCAGGACGAATTAGTCAATATTAAAAGTCACCCCCCAAACTGTTATAGTTCTTATTATGCACGTGTGCAGAAGTTAATATTTCTCTAACAAGGGGATCATCCCTTTATGTCATAACATATGCTCTTGATCTAGGGGCTTGGGCTTTATTCGATTATAACTACTCATAGAAATATGGGGAATGATACTAGAATGAGCAAAATGAAACAAAAACGTTCAAAGGGGTTGAAACGTTTATAGATACATGTTTCTTAAAGCTCTGAAATAGCACGTTAAAGTCTGATGGAAGGCATGATTTCTGAGTCTTCTAAATTTATAAATAATTATAGATTCAAGAGCATGATGACGAAATAAAAGCTTTTAAAGGAATCGAAAAGTTCAAAATTCCATCGCCTCCAGTTTATGAGTTGCAATCTTTTAAGTATTAATGGAATTAAGTTCATTTTCGTAAACTTATCAACAACGGTTCATTCTATAAGATCAAAAATCCATCGCGCAGTAAAGTAGTAAAGTACCTACGGACAAGCACTATAAGTCGGTAACTCCCAATAAATAAAAATTGCAAAATTCTTAGAAAGTCAATGTCTCGCCACAATTAACTGAAATTTTGCAATATAATCGGCAGAAGCATCTTTTATAAGGTTTCAAAATTTCATCGCCTTTAGTTTAAGTGATCTGAATTTTTCAGCGCGATAATGCACTTTTATCTACTACACTAAAAAATCAATTAGTATGTGGAATAAAATGAAATTGTCCAATATTATCACCAAAGGCTTCTTCTATTGGTACCTAAAAACTCAAAAGTCCCTCGCATCCAGATTAGGAGTCGTAATTTTTGAAGTTCGGTCATACACTTTAAGCCAATATGAGCGAATATATATTTCGATCTGATGATAGCAATTTTTTTATAAAATCGATGTCAGGCTAGAGTCAAGCTAAATGTTGTATGCGTATCAACAAAAGCTTCTCCTATACGCGTACAAAAGTTCAAAACTCCATCGGCTCTGGTTTAGGTGTTGCAACTTTTTAAGCGCACACTTAAGTACAATCAATTTTCTTGCACTAACTGAAAGTAGTAGATTTTCTAAGAAATCAAGTGTTTCCCAAATCAAATCAAAACTTTCTAGAGTTATCAACAGGCTTCTTCTATAAGTATTAAAAGGTTCACAATTCCATCGCCTCCAATTGAGGAGTTGTAATTTTTATAAATACGAGCATGCACTTTTGGGATATACGAGTATTTTGCACTAACTGAAAAATTCAGATTAAAAAAATCAGCGTCTGAGCAGAATCGAGTGAAATTTTCTGCGCTTTTTAACAAAAGGTTCTTCTATTAGCGTCCAAAGGTTTAAAAATCCGATTGAGATCACAGAGTAGGCTTGTGGGTTATTTTTTGCACTTACTGAAAGTTGCAGATTTTCCCCAAAATCAAAGAGTTTATGGAATGAAATGACGTTTTCTACACGTATCAACAAAAGCCTATTCTATAAACATTTGTAGATCCAAAATTCCATCGCCTCGATTTAAGGAGTTTTTCTTGTTACGAACAATTTTGGGATATTTTTGCGGTAACGGAAAGCTGTAGATTAAAAAGAAAATATTTTTAAGAAAAATCCACTGAAATTTTCTGCCGTTCTCCACAGAAGCTTCTCCTATTAGGATCCGAAAGTTATAAATAAGTTCCTTGTCTCCATTTTATGGTTTTTTTAAATACGCACTACATATTAAATTCGTTTGCTTTAAATAAGGGTTTCTTCTAAAAAACGTCTTTCCCCATACTCTGTTAAAGAGATGTCAAAGAAATGTATATATCTAATAAACGGATATTTAAAAACGTTTGCAAACGTTCGTCAGATTAAATTTATTTAAACCTTGTAGTTTAAAAATTAATGGGTTCTTAAACACCACCATTAAATATCGGTCGATTATGAATTCGTATCAGGAAATTATTGACGTCAAGAGATCCTAGCCATTGAGTGACTAAGCTCTGGAAATGTATAGTTATTTCATTTATGTCACAAGCATTCCAATTAGAATATACGTTTGGTGTGTACTTAAAATTGCATGTGAAACACTTCAGATGTAAATAAATGAAGTAGAGAAATCGTAAATTTGAGCAAAATAAATTTAAACTCAACTGGTCAAAATGTGGTTTTGTATGTCCGGAAAAACTTTTTATGCTGTCCACTAATCTTATTTGCTTCGTCACAGTGTCTAATTGATTGGGTTTTTGTGTGACTTGAGTTTTTGAACATTTGGTACATTCAAATGTTAATGGAAATTGTGGTAATTACTTGTTATATATCCATATTGAGGAGCTTCTAAGTCGCATGAGGTTCAGAAAACACTCATGTGAATTTTTATTTTATGACCGAAAATTTCAATAATTTCATTTTCATTCATTCATTTTATAATCATTTCATTTCATAAAATATCAATTTTCTTCAAAAAATATCGAGTCTTTTATCGAGCGAAGAATGTAACGAGGCTATTGAAAAAGACGGTAAAAATGAAAAAAACATTTTTTGTTTATTTTATGTGGTTTTAGAGCGAATCCGATGTTTATACGACGATATCTTTTTGTTATGGACTCAAACACTTTATATTGTCAAATTGAGCTCAAAAAATACTTAGGTATATGAAAGTTTAATTTTTGACCGACAATTTTAGATAACAGGTAATGGGTAATTTAAGGTCAGCAACTTGCTAGGTCGCACAATCAATTGAGCTCAAGAAACAGATGCAAAAATTTCGTATAAAATATTAATCTGAAAGAATAATATTTTATACGAAAGTATCTATAGAATAATCCCGGTTAGAATTATATGATTTATATAATTAGATGATCTGTTATGGCCGGCTTGTCACCCAAACCTTAGCCGCATAGATAATCTTAGAATCACAGTAGAAAGACAAGCCGGTTCATAAAGATTCTATGTTTGATACATCGGATCATGATTGATGAATTATTGAGTGGAATTCGACGAACATCTAAGATTAATTTTCCAGTAGATTCCATGTTTTGATTAAATTATCTGATCGCAGTTCCATTGGCTTAAACTTGCCGGTTTGTCTTAAAACGTACTTTAGATGATCCGATTTTGTGCTAATGAAGTTTCCGTGAGTTGTGATACTGTTTAGTATGCCATCAAATAAACAGTAAAAATCTGCAAGTAGATTTATTTTCAGAATTTAAAACCCAAAACACTCATTGCAGAAAACGTGATCTGTTTGCAACTCTGAATGTAATTTACTGAATTCATCAACTTGGAATCTCCAAAAAAATAATAACAGAAATTTAAATTTAAGTTATCGGTAATTCCTCAAGGCAAGGAAATTACAGATGTATGATTAAATTTTTATTATTTTTAATCCAAATAGAAAGAAAGTTTTCAAGTTTCATGGCATTGATTTTATGTAAAATTGTGAGTTAACATTTTGATAATAATTTAATTTCAGTAACTACGTTTTAGTAACATTAATGCTTCATATTGACTTGCAAGATTTAAAAATATTCATTTTGAGATTTGAGAAGATTGTTTCAAAATTTGGAAAACTTCGCTTTTTGTCAACGTTTTAAACACGTTTGTAACATCGCTTGCTACGTGAAACTATAAAAGAATCAGATGAGTCATAAAATATTTTAAGCAATGGAGTAACAAAATATTAAAGTATTAACATATCTGAGGCTGTAAAATAAGGAAAGTAAATGTGAAAAATACATCTTTTTCTTTCCAACGTTTCCTATGCATCGAAGTAGTAACGTCCTTCAAACGATTCGTGCAATTGCATTACAAGTAAAAAGTTACCAAACATGTAACATTTTTCAACGTTCCAAGTTTACAATGAAAAAATCCAGATTATTTACAGGAAAAATGATGTGAAGAAACGCATTCCATTAACGAGAAGAACCCATTAAGCCTTTTCAATACTTTCTTAGATAAATTAACGGGGGTAATACCACGAAATCTTTGAAATTACCGATAATTTTTCACGATTGCATGTATTCCATAATTTGCACTAACTTTTAAAGCTCGAGTGGTATTTAGTGAGATTATTCCTCGAGTTAAATTATATTATTTATTTATATAATATATATTATATATTTAATTATATTATATAAACAAAATCCATACTTTAGGATTCCATGACGTGAAATTATCGCTGTATGTTTTTTTGAAAATTATCGAATTACCGTTTATTAATACCTTTTTTCCTCCATAAAATTAGTATGAATGAAATAATTGCTGCAGGTTTTTTTTTGAAAATTATCGAATTACCATTTATTAATACCTTTTTTGCCCTATGAAATTAATATGGATGAGTGACATAATCGGTGATATTGTGAAAAACAGATTTGCGAACTATCGACTATCGTCATTGCACAGGTTTTCGTGCATCATAAACAAAATTCAGTATTCATCAAACAAAAAAACAAATTTCCCAAAAATCTTCAGTACTTATTTTAGAACGATCACTGACAACGCCGTCGGCTTGGAAGATGTCCCAAACGATTTAAATTAACGACTTAATTGGCACGCGTAGATGATTTTGTTGTATACCGGGTTAATGTATTTGCAAATATTTCGTTCGTCAGTTTTTATGGGAAATTCTCAACCTTGTCTTCACATTACATTACTTATAGAAGAACCAAACTCGGGCTCAAAATCCACGTACATGAATTGTGTCTTCACTGTTGAGATAAAAGTGATTATTTACCAAACTTGAGCACTGGATGATGGAGAACTTCCAGTCAAAGGAAAGAAAATAGCATCAGCAAAAACGGCAAAATTAAAATGAATTTGAATTTTATGTAAAAGTTCCGGTTTAGTCAATACAAATTCCCACCCGATTCTAGACCGTATTTCCTGCGGCATAAGCAACCCTGAGCTTCGCTCAGGGTGGCAGGTTGCAGACATTTCATTGGCCCCACCAAGGGGGTGGTCAACCCCTTTGATTGGAATGGGAGCCAATAGGAGCATCTGAACCTGTGCTTTAGGGGTAGATTTTTCATCCACAGGGTGAGCAAATATTTGCACATCAGTTCGATTAGAGTGGCTGTGCATCGAAGTTGCGGTTTTTGTTTCATAACGTGCAGAAAAGTGTTTTTAGTTCGGAAATAGTTAATCCATAACAAGTTACTAATGAAAATGTCCTTTTCCAGTGACCACGGACCGTGGGAATCAGGAAATGTAAGTATGTACATTTGGTTAAAATTTAATTTAAAAATCCTATTTTCTTACACAAGAAAATAAATTAAAGTAAAATACGTCTCTTGAAAACAGTCTTGAATTTTATTTCGTAGGGTGCCGAATTTCCCAATTATTCCAGTGATATAAATGGTTATGGAGGCCTTTGGGATCCGCATCATTTTCCTGGACAAAGTCCAGCTCTTGGAGGGTATCCGGACATCTTAACTGCGTTCAATTCAGATTTAGGTAAGCGCACTGATTGCTGCTAAATTGTCTAAGTGTAGTATTAATATTTATCTAATGAAAACAATATTTTCTTGCACAAAGTTAAAATGGTCATAAAAACAATTTTACAATCATACACAGTTACTGTGAATAGTTCGGCAAAGGCATCGTACTTGTAAAATATCTGTGAACAGTGTATATGGATTCTTGGCAGTTGTTTTTTTGATAATCAGTGCTAAAAAGTAAAAACAACTTTTGTGAGCAGAAAAAAGATTATTCTCAGGTTTTCGTAATCATTTTCTTGCCTAACATTTAATTAATCGTTTTTACATTGAAATTATTTTATTATCTGAGCCACACATGGATTACTATATTTATATAATAATAAATTGTAAATATTCAAAAGAACCATAAAAACTGTTTCAAACTTTCTCAATTAAGTGATAATAATTTTCTATCCATGTCCGCTTTATAATTGGTGAATTCTTAAATAGATTGAATATTTAATTTGTTTAATGAATGAAATTAAATGAGTTACCAAACTACTGATTTGCAATAATATGAATTTGTAAACCGTAATGAAACTTTCAATATGGAAAAACACCCAGTTCCGCCGTACTTGTATTTGTTATTTGGCCATCAACTTTAACAGCTTTTCAGGCACTCAAAATGCAGTTAAAAATCACTTTGAGTAGGGTTATGGAATTTTTTCAAGAGTCTAATGCGATAAATCGGTACAGGAATATGTGTTCAAATCGGAAAATCAAATTGCATAGTGTTTATAGCCAATTGGTGCAAAACAATGGGCTTTTTTTAGTTGAATCGTTCAATTGGCTTACTTTTAAGATAACAAAGTGTTTTAAACTAATAAAAGCAATCATAAAAAATAAATAATGCAAGAATAACTCACATAAAACTTATCGGTTTCTGTGTTACGACTCACGATTTTAACATTTTAATGATAAAAAAATTATATTGTTTGAAGGGACCTTTTGTGCAAATTATGAAATGTTGCTAATGTATGTTGCAGCTTAAAAATCCTTTAGGCAAAAAACTAAAGTCATTGTAACGTACCAACTTGTTAATTATTTTAAAGTCATAGAATTTCTAATGCATAATAAAAATAGCTTAAATAAACCGGCAATCCTTAGGGATGGATAGTTTTTGGCTTCCAAAGTATCCGCAAACGAAGCGAGATTTTGCGATTTTCTAGAAAAGTTAACTCATAGTTAATCACAATTCTCAAGTGAAAAAACAGTTTCAACTTCTTCATAAAAAATAAAAATTTGCAATAAAGTATGGCGTATTGTTTTAGTTTCGGATAAACTACTTAATCGCCTCGTAAGCACGTCTCTGCAAATATCTACAGTAAAATTTGTGAATGAGCCAAAGGGCGCCTCGTTTGGTTAGGAACAAAAAACGCCCATTTCCTTAACATTCACGTTAAATCATTGAATAACTATGAATACGAATTGAATCGACAATATGAATAAATCTAAAATTGGAATGACCAAATTAATGCACTTTCTACGAGACGATCTAATGAATATTTTTAGTATGGCAGCGTCAACAATGTGGAGGACTCGTCTCAAATCGACTTGGAAGAAGTGGATCTTCAAATGGTAGCCAATCAAACAAAAAACCCAGAAGAAGAGTGGCAACTATAGCTCAGCGCCGAGCTGCTAATATCAGAGAACGAAGACGCATGTTCAATTTGAATGAAGCGTTTGATAAATTGAGGAGAAAGGTAACGAATTGTCCCAAAAATGTTTTCTAAAGATGCTGAAAAATCTACACCTCTGGAAGCAATATGCAACTTTTTTAAAACGAATTGCTTCTGAAAAAAATATTCAAGGACATTTATGCAAAGTTCTACATGTCATGTTAAAATGTTACATTCTAATTACCATGAATAATTTGCAATTAACAAATCATTTTTTCAGGTTCCGACTTTTGCGTATGAAAAGCGGCTTTCGCGGATTGAAACGCTACGACTAGCCATTACTTATATCAGCTTTATGACTGAATTGCTTCATGGCCATCCGCTAGACCATAAAGGCGGCGATATTTACCCCCAAAGGGAATACATTCCTTATGGACTTATAAATTAATCCCCTTGAAAATGTCCATCTTATATAAGTGCAATATTAAGTTTTATGCAACTGTGTCTAGTCTTCCAATGTATTATTTACAAGTAAGAATATACATAAGAAACCACAAAAAAATAATACACAATACTAAATTACAAACATGTATTTATTTAGCAATACCAGCAATGCGTTTTTCTAAAACTCAACACAAAACATTTAAATTAAAGTGCAATAAATTCCTCAACTATACCGTGCCATATCCCTTGATTTCATGCAGGTTGGATTCCTTGAACCCAACCACTATGTCCCCTTTTATCAAGTGTGTGTAGGATTTCTTAGGGCCAGTCAAAGAATCCATGAATTTCGCTCGCTTCTTAAAACTGGCGTTTTTAAATTTTAACTTGACAGTTCCATCGGCTAGTTTTTCGTCGGTCCCATCTGGATTTCCCACTTGGCCAATCATTATGTCCTCGATTTCCAGAGATTTCATTTTAGCCTCATTCATGTCATTTTCTATTTCAGCTTGGTAGTTGTTCAAATTTTCGTTCATTGAATCAATAGTTTCCTCAATGTTACATGCGTACTGATCAAAAGCGCCATTTTCTAGGCCTTTGGCTTTTTTCTTGGACTTTTTCTTCGGTACAAATGTGTCCAGATAAGTTAGATCCGAGCTATCGTTCAATTTTCCTTGAAACTCCACAATATCCCTGCTGCAGTCTAATCCTTCAGCCTGCATTTCCTCTTTGCTGGGAATTATTCTCTCCCTGGTAACGTCGCTGAAGCGCACACTTTTCCTTCGTTCCACTTTTCGCACTCTTTGTATGCTAAGATCCTCTGAAGCATGTTTGCTCTCTGTGGGCTGGATTGGGGTGCTTACAACATTTAACATCAAATCGCAGCAGTCATCAATTGATGCCTCTAAATTCAATGCTGGATTGTCCAATCCCTTGTTCTCCTCTGTATCTTTCCGCTTCTTTTTCTTCGATTTCTTTTTTCTTTGAATCTCAAATTCTTCGTTTGGAAGGTCCTGGCTATTTACACTGTCATTACAACTAAAAGTTGGGTTCTCCACGCCAACATTTTCCTTGCTTTTATCTTTCTTCTTCGGCTTCAATTTGATTGCGTACGCGCTTTGTTCTTCAGTTACGGAAGTCTCGTTTTCCACTCCAATGCTGAATAGTGGGTTATCCAAACCGTCTTTGTTTTTTTTCGTTTTTTTCTTTTTAGATGTATTATCTTCTGATGCACTTTGTTGGCTGCCCAAAGCATCCACAAATTCACTTTTAACTTTGTCTTTTTTTCGCGATTTCACTTCCGTTTCAGAATAGCTAGTTTCCAGATTCTGATTCGAAACATCTATGCGATCCCCATTCTCTTCAGAAGAGTCTTTTTTAGGTTTCTTCTTTTTTTCGGTCCGTTCTGAATTGGCATCCTCAGGTGTTGCAATGTCTTCGACAGTAGTTCGCGTTTTTCTCTTTGGTGTTTCCATTTCTTCACATTCAGTAACTGATGTCTGCATGTCTGGCGATTCTTCGAGATTACTAGCTGAAATTGAAAATTAAAAACCTAATAACTCAGTTCTGAAATTCTTGACTTAAGAGGCGTAGAAAGCGTTTCAAAAAAGGACAAAACAAATATTCTATAGTTTAATTACTTAAAATAGTATTAATTTTGTTGAACTAATTGTGAAGAATAACTAACCATTTTTTTTATTTGCGTGGAAAATGTGTTAAGTTTCTGCGTAAAAATAACGCATGAAAGCCAATAAAGTTCCAGGCCTGATATTTGCAGTGCTAATTTTTGCCCAAAGTGCGTTTAGTTTAAATACGATTTCTGCTTATTTACAGTCTCTTTTGGATAGTTTTGATACAACTTACAAGACAGCATCGAAAAAGAAAACTTTGTTAAAAATAGTCCGAGGCCCTTTTGCCATGTACTTCATTTTTGATAACCAAATCTTCATTAGTAATTTTGCTCATAATTCGGCGTTAGTAAATGAATTATTTTCATACCTTTTTTTTTCTTTTTCTTCTTTTCCGGATCCGATTTCAGCTTGATTGGCGTGACTTCGTTATTAATTTGAGCTTGCACTTCCAAAGTTTCAGATATTTCTGCTATAGTGTCGTTCAAGGTACTTTCTTCGATGGACTCTAACACATGCTTCTCTACTTTTACCGATGAATACATTGGATCAAATGCAGGATTTGCAATTCCTGAATCGTCTTTAATTTTTTTTGACTTTTGCTTCTTAGTTACTGCACTGTTTTCTGATGATTGTGGCTCTAATTTTGTCTTTTTAGTGGGAGTGTCTTCTATGTTTGTGCTATCATCCAATCCCATTTTCTTCTTCTTTTTCTTTTTAATTGAGTCGTCCAGAGTTTCAGACACTTCTCCTGTGATGTCGCTCAATGCACTTTCTTCGATGGACTCTAACACGTGCTTCTCTACTTTTACCGATGAATACATTGGATCAAATGCAGGATTTGCAATTCCTGAATCGTCTTTAATTTTTTTGGACTTTTGTTTCTTCGTTACTACACTGTTCTCTGATGATTGTGGCTCTAATTTTGTCTTTTTAGTGGGAGTGTCTTTTATGTTTGTACTATCATCCAATGCCCTCTTATTTTTCTTTTTCTTTTTAATTGAGTCGTCGTCGTCTTTGCTGCTTTCGGATATATACGACACAAACGAAGCTTTTAGTGAGCTTGTTTTACTGCTCACAAAACTAGCAGTCTCACACCTGCTGTTTTCATTCGTCGTCTGCTGGAATCCGAATCCAAAATGGGGCTTTATCTCGCATTCAGATTCTTCTTCATATTGTTCATTGGAGCTGGCAAAAGCGGGCCTTTTTTCATATTGTTCATCATCATCAGCTTTTTTTAAAACACCATTGTTGCCTATTAAGTAGCCATTAACTTTCCCGAAACTGGGCAGTTTCTTTTTAAAGTAATCGGACATCAAGCCAGCGTTAGAAAACTGCTTGTTGTCTTCCTTGTCCTCTACACCACCTGATTTAGGTGCGACATCTTCAGATTTCTTGGTCCCCTTCAAGTTCTTCTTACCGAAAATACAGGCGAGATCCTTTTCGGTTCGCCGGCTCAAATCCTTCCCTCGAGTAAACTTTTTATAGTGCACTCTAACTTTGGATCCCTCAGACTTCTGCTCTAGGGAACTGAGCTTCAACTCGTCGGTTGTCTGGTTTTCTCCGGCTAATGCTTCCAAAACTGCCTTGAAATCCTCTTGAGTTTCAGTCCATTGCTCATCAGTTTCTTTATATCCTACACCTGAAACAATGACAGTCAAAATCAGGGAAAATCCAATTATTTTTCTTATCTGAACTTGCGAGTGGCAACTTATCACATTAATGAGAATATTGATGCGTTAATAGTCAGTAAGAACTTACCTTGGGAATCATTCTTGTAGGACACTTTAATATGTTCGGTCATGCCATTTTCCTTAGCTCCCAAGCCTTTTCCAGATGACCAACCCATTTTCTCCATTAGCTTTTGGCCGAACTTATTGCTATCTACATGTGTAAAACAAAGCTTAGTTGCAGTGTTTTATGGTAAAAGTTTGGGAATTTAGGACTTACCTTCCGCCCAAAATTTCCCTCGGGGATTGAGGGACCATTTCTGCTTCCTTCTCCTCTCAGCGAGCATAGACATAATGATGCTTTCACCTTTCTTCAACACTTTAAGATACGAGCACGTAAATTAAACCGTGAATTTCGTTAAAACGCTGCGAAATTATGATTGTTTCACAGACTACTCATGAATGTTTTGAGTGATCCCGAAAGAATTATAACCTCACTAAAATGCGCACGAGGGAGGAGCGGATAAATCGCCACCCATGCGGCAAATACTGCGCATGTTCAATTTCACTGCACTGACGGGCGAACAGCTGCATGACCACAGATCACAGAGGTTATTCCGTGATCTGTGATTCCTTGTAAGGAATAAACGGCACGGGGCACATAGCTTGAGCCCAAATACAAAGCTTGGCCCAAATACATAGCACGAGTAGAAGTATTCCTTGTAAGTAGTAAAAATGATTGCAACTATGTCACGACAACAAACATTCGCCCATAACTTGCTTAAAATAATGTAGGATCTATTTTCGAATCTTGAATGATGAATGATGATGACTAAAGCTCGGATTTAAAGGCAAGACAATTTGAAGGAAAAGGCGCCTATATAGGCAAGGATTTAAAAAAAAAGGCAGGCATATTGTGATATAGGCAGCCTGCCTACACATAAATGTAACTTAAAGAAATATATTTACTGCGTATAATAAACAATTTATATTAGCGCATTCTATTATATAACACATAAAATTCTACAATGAAATACTAGTAATAATTATTTAAAAAATAGTAATAATAGTTAACTTAGGCATTGTTACTATGTAATATTTTCTCATTTATAGCTACAACTAAGTGCTTTTCTATGTTATCGGTCTTAAAGCACAACCTTCTGTCACTTAAAATAAGTTTATACATCGAAAAAGATCGTTCGACGTCAACAGATGTAATTGGAGCAAATTTGAGGCTTGATAATATATCAGAATCAATTTGCAAATCATCAGAAAAGTCTCCATTCAAAACCTTAGAAATATTAGTTAATATTG